TAAATTCTCTTATTAGTTTTGTAATGTTTATGTTTCTTATGAATAACTGAATTTAGATTGTAAATAGCTGAATTTTACTTGTTCATTTACACTCAAACATTTACATTTTGGGTTGTAAATTTTTTTTGTGTTTCTTGTGAATAACCGAATTTTGTAGTGTAATTTACATTATAAAATGGGTCTTATATTTAGAACCGAAAGAGTACTTTAGATGTTACCTTTGATCCAATTTTTGAGCTGAAGGCCCACTTTAACTTGAACCAGCCTAATATTATCTTAGAGTCTGTTTGGAATCACATTCATAAGTACTTATAAATATATTTTACGTAAATCAAGACAAAATTCTTTCTACATATTTTTCTAATTTGGTAAATCATAATTAAGATACTGCTTATAAAACATTCTAAACGAGTTTTTAAACTACTTTCTCACATGCATTAGAACTATTTTTTAAATGAGAACTTCTTACAATCAATATAAGTATTTTGAGAAAAAATTATAAATTTAAAAAATAAAGTATATTAGAGTATTATATTTAAAACCAAATCCAACCATTCAACTAGCTCTCATATTAAGCATCACAGGTTGTATTTGATATATTCTAAATGTTTTTAAGTTTTCCATTTCTAGGGCAAAATGAACGGACGGACGAATGATTCAACATGATATTGTTTTTACATACATTGTACAAAAAAAATTAAAAGAATAAATTAATACACTATTAATAAATTGTACTCCCCTTGGTCTATAATATAAGTTGTTTATAGGAGAATAATTTTGTCCAAATATAAGTGACTTGGGAGTATTTAATACTTATTTGTTAATTTTGTCATTGCAATTAATACTTAAATGTAATTCTTTGTATTTTTCTCTTTCCTTTACAACCTAATTTAATATGGTTAAAGTTACAAAAAATTTAAATTTGGAACAAATTTACTAAGTCAACTACACATTCCTTAGTCTTATTTATAACATAAAAAGAGATTTTTTTTGGGAAAATGACAATAAAATACCTTCTGAATTTCAAAATGACAAATAAGGCATCTGAATAAACAAAATAATAAAGAACTCATCAGGTATTAATCTAGAATTTTGATTTTTGGCCTCAAAACATGTTGCAAAACCCATTGGCAAAGTAGTAACTCTCACTACGAAAGTTGTAAATCTCACTCTGTATTTTGTAAAATTCAGCATGGAATTGTATTGTTTTTTACAGAAAAGTTACCCACCCCTCAAAACAGGTTGCAAACCCATTGACCAAGTAGTAAATCTCACTATGAAAGTTGTAAATACCACTATGTGTTTGTAAAATTCAGCGTGGAATTATATTTTTTTCACAGAAAACTTACCCAACCCTTCAAAATAGGTTGCAAAACCCATTGACGAAGTAATAACTCTCACTATGAACATTGTAAATCCCATTGTATTTTGTAAAATTCAAAATCAAAATTTCATATTAGTACCTGATGCCTTCTTTGTCATTTTGTTTATTCGGATGCCTTATTTGTCATTTTGAAATTCAGAAGGTATTTTATTATTATTTTTTTAATATTTTTTATGGTTCTATTTATAAATCACTTCATTAAATTTTTAACATAAATATACTTATTCTTTATTTATTATAGTATATATAGTTTTTTAAAAGATATATATTAAATAAAGATAAAGTTAAAAAATTATTATATTTTAATTAAAAATTAATGCAATTTAAGATTTTTTTAATATGTATAAAAAGATACTGTAAATACTTTATAAAAAGAAATAAACAAGAGCGGGGGAGTTTTTTTTTTTCATTTTTTTTTTGGCCATCGAGTTAACTACACATGTTTGAGATGATGTGTGTGTATGCATGTATGCATATGTATGAATGGGTATATTGATGATCATTTCATGAAAGTTGGCGGGGCTCTACCGTTGATTTCGCTTGTTGGCAAGACAGAGTCATTTTAGTCATGCTTTTGAATTGGTCAAAGTCAACGATAGAACCAGCACAGTGCATGGGAAGCCCCTGAAGACAGGTCAAGCTGTTCATAAATGCCGAGGACACTTTTGCCCCCTAAAAATTCATACCCCTCCGAACAATTAATATTCACCCAACTGGCTGTTGACGTGCCCTACACCCTCCCATTTACCTATAATAAACTGTCTTTCATCAACAAAATGCCCTAAACTGACAAATTTTTAATTTTATGGTTATTAAAGTTTTTTCATATTTACAAATTATTCTCATGTCTTCTTTATTTTTCTATTTTTAATAAGAATTAAATAAAAATAAAATTAAAAATAAGTATTAAATATATTACAAGTAACTTATATTTACAATTGAAATTTTATCTCATGAGTCACTTACATTTAAGACCAAAATAATACTATGTATCTGTATCCACACGAAAAATCCATATATATATATTTATTTATTTTTCCACATAAATTATAAGTTTGAGCATAAAGGAATTAGCAAAATATATATATCACTGTGATTCCAAATGTAAGTCACCTGTAGAGAAAAAATTTAGTTATAAATTTAAATTATTTGTAGTGTATTTAATGCTTGCTTTCCAATTTTACCTTATTTAATTCTTATTGAAAAGAGAAATAAAAAAAAGATGTGAAAATAATTTGTAAATGTAGAGAGAAAGAGAGATAAAAAAAACTTTAATAACGATCAAATTGAAAAATTTTGTCAATTTAATGCATTTCTTGACATGTAAAAATGTGTTGTAACTTATAAGTGACTTATAATAAGGACTGAGGTGGTACTTCTTTCTATCCTTTTTATAAAATTCAAAATTTTGAATTTATATCATATTCTCAATGGAGATAGTAGAGGAGTTTCCCTCCCCAAGGAAATTGTGGTCTGGTAAATTTATATGCGCTTTTGTTGTCCTGACTTTTATTGCCACAAGAATAAAAAAGGGTCAGGGATCGAGTTATTAATCATGAATGTGTAAATGAAATGTATGTCTATATTAATAGTAGCTCATTTTGATTCCCTGTATAATATCACATTCAATCCTTAATATAAGAGCTAGTTGACTAATTTGAGTAGATTAAAAAAATTTGTTAAGCTAGTTATTTGTAACAAAAATATACTCCTTCAGTCCTTAATATATGACCTAATTCTAAAGTTGGTTTTGGTCCTAAATATAAGACCCATTGATTTTGGTCCTAAATATAAGACCCATTTCTCATATTTATCAATTTTCTCTAAATTACCCCTATGGATACTCCCTCAACCATAATCAAGTAGAAGAGGGAGAGGAGGTATTAAGAAAGATGATTATGGTGTTTTAGGAAAAATGTTTCACTTTTCTTATAATTAACTAACTTACCTAACTTTTTTAATTTAATCAAATTAGTTAAATGGGTCTTATATTAAGGATCGGAGGAGTATGTTGTTTTTCTTCAAATACTCTTACTAATCATGTGCATTAACTAGAACTATTATTTGATAGAATACTTAATATGTACAACTATTACAAGGACTAATTTAAAAATAAATAAATAAATATGAGAGATATATCTATGACCAAATTAAAAGTTAATATATGCAACTATTACAATGACTATTTTAAAAAAAATAAATGTGACATTAAACTAACTGTTATATTAAGGATTGAAGCTAGTATAATGATCATCCCATTCATTATTTAGGTGGCCGATCCTTCATTTTGATGCTACTTCTTGCCCATTTTTCATACCACTAAATATAATCACATAAATTAATTAGTTCAATATGTTCAAGCAATTCTTTAAAATATTCATACAAATTAACATTGCTAATATTATTGTTACTGCTATTCCTACTCCTACTACTATTATGTTGTCGTTGCTTGCTGCTGCCACACACATAATTCTGAATTATACATTTATGCCCCTTAATTAAAATTTATTTTTATATTATATAATCCTCTTAAACTTTAAATTATATGTAGATAAACTCCTTAAATTTAAAATTATTTCCAGATTAAATAATAAACAAAACGTAACTAGAAAGTAAATGAGTTACCTATACAGGTTATGTAGGTTTCTTGTAAACTTTTAAAGGTTGGGACTTGGAAAAGTTATTTACATATGATACAAAATTTAGATGATTTTTATTTAAAGGTTAATATAATTTTTGGTCCTTTAAATTTGAATTTATTTTGATTTTAGTCATTTAAATTTCAAATACATGGTTTTAGTTTCTAGGATTTAGTCTATCTTAAAATATTAGTCTCTAGAGACATAATGATATAAAAACCTACTAAAGTATTATAAACAGCATTAGAGTAGTTATATAACTCACTAAATAACACCTAACTATAGATTTTGTGTGACTAATAAAAGATAAAAAAAAAAGAAGAGAACAAGTCATCAAAACAAAGTTGTTTAGCCCCATTTTTTTATCCCCACTGTTCGTTTGAGGAATTGTTCATTACACTGCATTTTGAAAACCCATCTCTCTTTATATAATCGTAATTTGCATTGCATTTTGAGGAACTTTCTTTTTATTATCCGCAAAAAATCTAGTAATGTGCTATCAAGTGAGTCCACACCATCATTTTAACACCGTTTATGATGATTCAGCAAATTTTAATATTGTTACACCTCCAAAGTATAACGTTTTAAGACAAACTAATTTTCACTAAAAATCATGAGTTTAAAATTTAAGGAATCAAAACCAAAATATGTCTGAATTTATATTAACTCTTTATTCCCAAGAAACAAGACACTTGAAATATTAATACTACCTCTGATCCTAATTATAAACGAGGTTTTATAATTAGGATATTATACTACCGTATTCCAACAACTGTTCATAACATTAAATGATGTTGCCTATGGCCTTACTGTTCCTCTTGGGCAGTTGCCAGCAAAAGTCCTTTAGTTGCGTGTTTCCCGCGGTGCCTTCAAGAGAGGGACCCTTATGTGACTCGCTCTATAAATAAAAGCATAATTTGTTAGCTAGCTACCAAACACATCTTTCACTCGTTGCCTTCCAAGTTTCAACTTTTGTTATGGCCTTTTCAATTCTACTCTGTTTCGTTTTTCTTCTCCCTTCCCTTTCTTCTTCCTCTGATCCATTGTGTAATCATCTTGATCACTCTGCACTTCTCCAATTCAAGGATCAATTCACAGCCTCATTTTTGTCAAAAACAAGATCGTGGGGGAATAGTTCAAATTGCTGCTTGTGGGATGGGGTCACATGTGACCCTGTGTCTGGTCAAGTGATTGGCCTTGATCTTAGTTCAGGTTTTCTTCAAGGTCAACTCACTTCAAATAGCACACTCTTTCAACTTGTTCATCTTCAGACACTCAACTTGGCTTACAATGATTTTGAAGGGTCTTTGGTACCATCTCAATTCGGTGACCTTCCTAATCTCACTCATCTAAATTTGAGCTCTTCTTTTTCCAATGGTGAAATTCCTCCCAGAATCACACAATTGTCTAAATTAGTCTCTCTTGATTTGTCTGTTACTTGGGGGAATTTGAGACTTGAACAATCCACATGGGAACAACTCATTTTAAACATGACTGATTTAAGAGAACTTGTCTTAGATTATGTGAACATGTCTTCTGTTATGCCAAGCTCCTTCTATTTGTTTGTGAATTCATCATCCCCTTTGGTTTCCCTTAGACTTAAAGATACTAAGTTGCAGGGAAACATCACAAGTGACATTTTTCGTTTACAAAATCTTCAATGGCTGGATTTGTCACTGAATAAAAATCTTAAAGGTCAACTTCCAAGGTCCAATTGGAGCTCGCCTCTCTCATCTCTGGATCTTAGCCTCACATCTTTCTCAGGAGGAATATTTGATTCCATAGGTGATTTGAGGCATCTTAATAATTTGAATCTGGAAAGTTGTGGACTTGAAGGACCAATTCCTCTGGGTTTCAGGAATCTCACTCATCTAACTCATTTGAACCTTGGCTCAAACAAATTGAGTGGTGAGATTCAATTCCTTTCAAACCTAAAGCTTCTCTCTTCCTTAATCCTTAGTAATAATGATTTTAGTGGACAAATCCCATCATCACTTTCAAGTCTGAAACATCTCATTGTCATAGATTTTTCAGAAAATAATTTTAATGGTGGAATCACAAGTGTGTTTGGAGAGCTTAGCAACCTGGAGAGTTTATCAATTTCTAGAAACAACATAAGAGGACAGCTTCCATCTTTGTCTAATCTATCTCAACTCTCTTCTTTTGATTGTAGCTTTAACAAATTAGTTGGTCCAATTCCAAATGAAATTTGCAAACTGTCTAAGTTGGTTGAGTTAGAATTGTCTCATAACTTGTTCAGTGGAACAATTCCTTCTGGGTGTTATTCTTCACCATCTTTGAAAAGTTTGCATCTTAATGACAACCATCTTACTGGGTCCATTAGCCAATTTTCAAGTTACTCATTGATGGAGTTTGATCTTTCCAACAACAGGTTAGAAGGAAATTTTCCAGAGTCAATTTTTGGACTCACAAGTCTTTCTTTCTTGAGTCTATCCTCAAATAATTTGAGTGGACTGGTTGATTTTGCCCAATTTTCAAAGCTCCAAAATCTAGGGACCCTTGATCTTTCAAACAATAAATTTCTTTCATTGATGAGTGGCTTTAACGAAAATGTTGATCTACCATTGACATATCTTCAAACTTTAAATTTATCTTATTTGAGCTTCCATATTTGATGATTTTATCTCTTTCAAACAACAAGATTCAAGGGACAATTCCCAAATGGTTCAATGATGTGGGGAGTGGTTCTTTGGTTTATTTGGATCTCTCTCACAATCTTTTGACTTCAGTTGAGCATCTTTCAATGAGAAATATCCAAATTCTTGATCTTGGTTTCAACAAGTTACAAGGAAATCTACCAATTCCACCATTGGGTATTATCTCCTTTTCAGTTTCCAACAACAAAATAAGTGGGCAAATTTCATCATTGATTTGCAATGCAAGCTCACTTATGATACTCAACTTGTCTCACAACAATTTGCCAGGCCCTATTCCACAGTGCCTTGTGGCCGTCCTATCCATTTCTGATCTAGACTTGCGGAACAATGGCCTTACCGGAACTATTCCTAACAATTTTTCAAAGGACAGTGTGCTGCAATCTTTGAATCTCAATAACAACAAACTTGAGGGACCATTCCCTAGATCCTTGGCTTATTGTGATCAACTTCAAATTTTGGATGTGGGAGAGAACCAGATTGAGGACACGTTTCCCAATTGGCTTGAAGCTCTACCAGAGTTACAGGTACTTGTTTTGAGAGATAATAAGCTGCATGGAACTATTACTAGTTCCAACGCCAAGCATCCCTTTTGGAAGTTAAGGATTTTTGACATTTCCAGCAACCATTTCAGTGGGTCTTTGCCAGCAACATACATCAAAGAATTTAAAGGAATGGTGAAGGTAGACAGTGTTGAAACAACATCTCTGTACATGGAAAGTAGAAATGATCTCTTATATCAGTATTCAGTGAAGATCAATATGAAAGGTAATGCCATGGAGCTTGAAAAGATCTTGAAAATATTAACTACTCTTGACTTGTCAAGTAATAAATTTGATGGAGAGATTCCAAAAGTGATTGGAGAGTTATATTCACTGAAAGGACTGAATTTCTCCCACAATGGAATCACAGGTTCTATTCCTCAATCAATGGGGAATTTGACAAATGTTGAATGGTTAGATTTATCATGGAACAAGCTTGTAGGTGAGATTCCTCCAACATTGACGAATCTCAACTTTTTGGCTATTTTGAACCTTTCATGGAACCAGCTTGAGGGAATCATACCAAGAGGTAAGCAATTTGACACATTCTTAGAAGATTCATATGAAGGAAATTCAAGATTGTGTGGAGTTCCATTGACAAAAAGTTGCAGCAAGGATGAAGGAAAACTACCACAGCCATCTTCATCAACATTCTTTGAGTTTGGTTGGAAACCAGTAGCCATTGGATATGGATGTGGGATGATATTTGGAATTTTCATGGGATATCTTGTATTCTTAATTGGAAAACCTCAGTGGCTGGTCAGAACTTTTGGAGGTCAAATTAAGAAACAAAGAAAAAAGGCCAGAAACAGAGTTTGTGCAAATCGAGGAAGAACGAATTAGCTGAAGAATTTGGTTTTGTATGATATTATAATTTCTGTGCATTTGTCAAATTTTTTTCCCTTTTTTGCCCTTTTGTTTGGCATATTGTATCATATTCCTCGAGTATTTCAGCAATAATATGAGTGTAATATTTTCTTTTTTCTAATTTGATGTGCTCTTATTCTGTTTGAGTAATTAAATTTTTAGTGATTTGCCATCATCATGTATATTGTATCAATTGTGATTCATTTTCATCATGTCCTTTTCCCTTCTTTTCTTTTGAAAATTCTAACACATGAAAAGAAAAAAAATTCACCCATTCTTTATGAAATTAAATTTAAAATTTATTCACAAGAGTGTTTTTTTTTTTGTGTGTAATAATTTAATAACGAGTTGTCTTAGTAGAAGCGTCACCCGTCACGCTTAAATGAGGTCATGTGTTTGAACTTAGCATTAACATGCTTATATTTATACACACATGTTTAATTGTATAAAATTAAAAAGATAGGTTAATATGGTTGATATACTTTTGATGTTTAGTCATTTTAGTCCTTTTTCTTAAAAAAATAATTTTTATAACCCTTCAAATTAGATATCAATACCTTTTGGTCCTTGAGCTTAACCTCCCTCTATGTAGAGAGAATAGGATCATACGATGCAATCATTTAGGACTTATTTAGTACTATCTCCAGTCCTAATTATAAGAGCTAGTTGACTAATTTGAGGAGATTAAGGAAATAAGTTTAAGTTAGTTATTTGTAATGAATATGTGTTGTTTTTCTTAAAATATTCTTGTAATCAAGTGTATTAGCTAGAACTATCATTATTAGAAAGACTTTTTTAGGGAAAAAATGTATAAATATGAGAGAGAAAGTAGATTGGAGTCTTATATTTAGGACTAAAATAAAAGTCAAATGAAATCTTATATTAAGGATGTATAATGGAATTTTTTTTGGGGTGGGGGGGGGAAGGAATAAGAACATGAATGGAAATCAGAATTGGAATAGAATCTACATAATCCCAAAAAATAGGATGCAGAGCTGAATCAAACGCATCATGCAATTCTAGAGTGCCATGGTAGATTCAAGTAATTAGGAGAGGCTGCCACATATACGCATATAAAGCTTTTTAAGTTTTTTTTTTTTTTGAATTACTACAACACAGAAGTTCAATCCCTAATTTCACTTCTTCAATTTTTCAAATTCAAAATCCCATTGCCTTATCATCACTCATAATATTAACTAATATAAACTTCCTTCCAAGTCACAAGCACTTACATCACCAAGATACATCCTTATCTGTGATAGGCTTTGTTCGCATTTTTTTTTCCAAAGAGAAAGGAATCTATACACCCATGATACACAACCCATAATTGAACAACACGGGTTACATAATTCACAACCTCCTAGAGAGGGGTGGGGTGTCACGTGAGCTATAAATTCTTCGCGATAAACTTCGTTTACTAACATGACTTATGCAACTCAACACCAAACAAAGTGTGTATATAAATATGCACACACACACATGAATATACACATGGCATTTATTCTATTGCTTACAGTGCAGATTAAAAAGAAATGCATTTAGCATATTATAAATGTAATAGCATGTATGTTAGTAGCCCTCAGTACATGAGAACCAGTTTCAGTACTTATTAAGTTATTGTAATTATGAACACCATGGTACTTATTTAAATAAAGTTTTAATGATCTAAATTTAAACTTTTTAACCGATAATTTTGTAATAAAAATAAAAGCATTTTTTACAAAACTTACAATTAAGATATTACATTTATTTTGGATTATGTATTTCGGGAAAAAGATAAAAAAATGAAACTTGAATTTCATAATACCCAAATGGTCTGCTGAATTTGAGAAATCGTAATTTGGTCTAAAGAGACAAAATTCAGATTATCATGTTAAAAGAAAAGACCAAATTGCCCTTCATTTTATTTATTGTTTTTAAAATACCAAAGCCCCCGCTAGCCGGTTGGTCGGTCGCCAGAGCTCTGGACCGGCCGACAATTGGTCACTAGAGCTCTGATGGTCGGAAACATTTTTTTTGAAAATTTTTACAACTTTAGTATAACGGTTAACAACTTTTGTAAGGTTATTAACAACATCAGTATAGCAGTTAACAACAGGTTTTCTGGGAAATTCAACAAGCTCCGGCAGCCTAAAACAACTTTTTTGAAAATTTTTACAACTTTAGTATAACGATTAATAACTTTTGTAACGCTATTAACAACATCAGTATGGCAATTAACAACAGGTTTTCTGAGAAATTCAATAAGATCCGCCGGCCGGAAATAATTTTTTTTGAAAATTTTTACAATTTCAGTATAACGGTTAACAACTTTTGTAAGGTTATTAACAACTTCAGTATATAAGTTAACAACAGCTTTTCTAGGAAATTCAACAAGCTCTGGGTGCCTGAAACAATTTTTTTAAAAATTTTTACAACTTCAGTATAATAGTTAACAACTTTTGTAACGCTATTAATAACTTCAGTATAGCAGTTAACAACAGGTTTTCTAGGAAATTCAACAATCTCGGCGGCTAGAAACAATTTTTTTGAAAATTTTTATAATTTCAGTATAACAGTTAACAACTTTTGTAACACTATTAACAACTCTAGTATAATAGTTAACAACAGATTTTCTGGGAAATTCAACAAGCTCTGGCGGTCGAAAATAATTTTTTTGAAAATTTTTACAACTTCAATATAACAGTTAACAACTTTTGTAACGCTATTAACAACTTCAGTATAGCAGTTAACAATAGATTTTCTGGAAAATTCAACAAGCTCCGACAACCGAAAACAATTTTTTTGAAAATTTTTACAACTTCAATATAACGGTTAACAAATTTTGTAATGCTATCAATAATTTTAGTATAGCAGTTAATAACAGGTTTTTTGAGAAATTCAACAAGCTTTGGCGGCTAGAAATAATTTTTTTGAAAATTTCTACAACTTCAGTATAATAGTTAACAACTTTTGTGATACTATTAACAACTTCAGTATAATAGTTAACAAGTTTTTTGAGAAATTCAACAATTGGTAGCTAAAGCTCTAGCGGCCGTAAACAATTTTTTTTGAATATTTTTACAACATTAGTATAACGGTTAACAACTTTTGTAATGCTATTAACAACAAGTTTTTTGAGAAATTCAAAAAGTAACACTTTTACAACTTGAATAATGCCGTTAACAAGTTTTGTAACTCTATTAACAATTTCGGTATAACATTTAACAACATGTTTTCTTAAAAATTAAAAAAATGGCATTTTTACAATTTTAGCAACTACTTTTTTTTTTTGAAAATTTTTACAACTTCAGTATAACAGTTAACAACTTTTGTAATGTTATTAACTACCTCAGTATAGTAATTAACAAGTTTTCTGAAAAATTCAGAAAGTAGCATTTTTACAATTTCAGTAATGTCGTTAACAAGTTCTGTAACTCTATTAATAACTTCAGTATAGCATTTAACAACAGGTTTTCTTAAAAATTAAAAAAAATGGCATTTTTATAACTTTAACAACTGCTTTTTTTTAAAAAAAAAATTTACAACTTCAGTATAATGGTTAACAACTTTTGTAACTTTATTAACAACTTCGATATAGCAGTTAATAACAGATTTTTTAGGAAATTCAAAAAACAACATTTTACAACTTCAGTAATGCCGTTAACAAACTCAAAATGCCAACTGCTATACTAAAGTTGTTAATAGAGTTACAAAAGTTATTAACTGTTATACTGAAATTGTAAAAATTTTTAAAAAATTTGTTTTCTGCTGCCGAAGCTTCGGTGACCAATTGTTGAATTTTCCAAAAAAAACCTGTTGTTAACTAATATACTGATGTTGTTAATAGCATTACAAAAGTTGATAACCGTTATATTGAAGTTGTAAAAATTTTCAAAAAAATTGTTTCCTGTCGTCGGAGCTTGTTGAATTTCCCAAAAAACCTATTATTAACTGCTATATTAAAATTGTTAATAGCGTTACGAAAGTTGTTAACCGTTATACTGAAATTGTAAAAATTTTCAAAAAAATTGTTTCAGGCAGCTGGAGCTTGTTGAATTTCCTAGAAAAACTGATGTTAACTGCTACACTGAAATTGTTAATAACCTTACAAAAGTTAACTGTTATTCTGAAGTTGTAAAAATTTTCAAAAAAATTGTTTCCGACCAACCGGCTAGTGGAGACTTTGGTATTTTAAAAGCAATAAATAAAATGAAGCACAATTTGGTCTTTTCTTTTAACATGATAATCCCCATTTGGTCTCTTTGAGACCAAATTGGGATTTTTTTTAAATTCAGTAGACCATTTGGGTATTATGAAATTCAAGTATCATTTTTCTATCCTTTTCCCATGTATTTATTAAAAAAAATTAAAAAAACAAAAAATAAAAAATAAAAAAATTACACCCATCCATGTTAAATTTAAAAAGTTTAGATTTGATGAGTATAATAGTACTTATCATTACAATAAGCATTGAAACTTGTATTAAAAAAATTTATTTCAGAAGACAAAATAATGGCTTTTAGCCGCAACAAGGGTACAAGCCTTTTCTTTTGGTTGAAAATTCATTTGCGTAGTAATATACATATACCAATTTGAAAGACTAATGCTGATATGGGTAAATATCAAGTCAAAACGGTGAAAAATGCAACTAATATACAGTATAAGGAAGATTAAATACAATTAAATCATATATTAAACTTTGCCTATTATTATACATCTGCTTCTAGCATCTAGTGGCCAAAACTCAGAATCTCAACTTCCTATTGCAAGACCAAACCACTTTGATACTTTCTATTGCATATTCAAAGCGAGAGTTGTAAAAAACAAATGCCCTCAAATAGTTTCTCAGAGGATTTTCAGCATCTCATACCATGTGGCTCTCCCACTGCTTCCATGGATATTAGGTTATAGATCCTTAGACAGAGAATGAAAGACTCAAGATTTTGGTTTCTTGGGTGCATTTGAATTTGATGGCTCAGCTTTCCTTTTGATTCCCAGAAAGTGTTCCACCTGAAAGAAGGAAAACATGTTTTCAATAATAGAAAAATGCGAAACTCAATTGAAAAGAAGAAAAATATAATAACAAAATTGGAAATGCCACGGATGGCATATCATATACAGCACTATCAAAAATGAGATGAACAAAAAGGAAGGGGCAAGCCTTGTTGCTTCATTATCAAGCAAAATTTGATTTCATTAAGTTTTCAAGATATTGTACATCCTAAACTCAAGAGCTATAAAATTAAAAATCCACGAAACGTGCTTAAAAAATTCTAAACCTGACAGTCCTCACATTGTCTACATTTTGATCAATGGCAAGTGTAAATTACCTTTCGATCACCAAGCATTGGTGTCAAGCCCCCTGGATGATCCTTCTCAACAGTAGCAAACCTGCTTTCTGGGTCACTAGTTTGCCTGGAAAAATGAAAAACATAAAAAGGCAGTTTATCAATATGTTGAAGAGAAAAAGATAATAGGGAAAGCTATATATTTCTTTAATATTTTAATACTAAAAAAATCCTTGAAATGATATTGACAAGTACTTTATAGCATGTTGCATAACTATTATTAATTGCAAGACCTTACAACTATTAATCCTCTAAGTTATAGACATACCCTGGTTTAACATGACCGCTGAGAACAAGATAGGGTGTCTTCAGACGAGCTTGAGATTCCCTCATTCTCTCCACGGACAACAACGGGGTATCTGAACTCTTCATCTCCTTCATCTTCAATTCTTCATAATACTGTTTCATACGCTTTTCTTGCTTCTTTTTGCCAGGTCCTTTACAATGGAATTTATGAGAAACCAACCGAAAAGCTTCTTTAGGAGTCAACTGGCAGAAATAAAAGAAATTAATGAATCATGGATAAAAGATGCCCAGTACTACCTTTAAACACCTAAAACTGTGAATTCAATGGTATGCATTTGAGGCCAATCCAATTTCAAGCCTCCGCAAAAATCCAGTACTATGGATCATGTAGGAGTATCATGTTTTTTCTTAATACAACAGACAAGCATTAAACTTGAGGTAGAAATACTACAAGGACGTAATAACTAAGCATAAGACATAGCCAACAAAACAACAAAACTAGATTAAGCTTAAGCTAGGCTAAGTCTTTTGCAATTTGATCCAAGCAGAACGTGGGTGGGTCCAGCAAAACAGCCCTCTCAATACTTATCTCATGAGCCTTCTTCGCAAGTGGAGTATCATCAAATAGATGTACATAGCAACTAATACAACACTACTTTGTCTAAAAATGCAAATGTATATGCAGAGGAAAACATGGATTGAAATATCAACAAGTGTACACAAAAAAGGTGATAGAGGATCTCCTTGCCTCACGGTCACACCTTGTTGAACCCTACTTTGTAACCCTAGTTTCTGTTTTATGATTTGCTATCTTTATCTTTGTTGTCATTATAATCTGTAATTATCACTAGGATTACAGAATCATACCCTTTATCTTTATCAATCATAGAGAGAATTTTATGGCATTAAGTCAATCTCTCTCCCTCTATATGTATTGATCAGAGCTTGATGAATAAAACATCCAATTTCGCACCGCAAACTTTCTTTCTTTGCAAACATGCCCATGCAATGATCATCCACCACAACATAATGCAATTCTATAATATACGACATATAATTGTGTTTATATCATTGATTACTTACAATTCTCCCAAACTCATCTGTCCTCTCAATGCGGATCTCTTTTTCATTATGTGCATCCTTTGATTCTTCATCATCTACGATCCCAACCAGTTTGCTTTTCTTTTTGTCCATGTTTCTGCCACCCCATTCAACAGTTTCTTTAAGTGTTCCTCGATCTTTAAGAAGCTTTAATGCACCCGACAATCCTTTACCCACTGCAACATCATGGATAGTTTCATCGGGAACAATTTCCTCCTTGTCTTCTGAATCAGGTTTTTCATCTTCACTAGTTTCTTCATCTTCAGTCCATCCGCCAGTCTCATCATTCTTTGCTTCATCGGGAGCATTTGCTTCTTTATCTTCATGCTTGAAAACATCTTCACTTTCTGGTTTTCGTGCCTCTGGGGAAAAAAAAAAAAATTAACAAAGAGAGCTGGTATAACATTAATTCAGATGTGAGCTCAAGAATGAACAAAAAGAAAACAAGGGAGGACATGGATCAAAAAGATGGAAAATAAAGTGGATTAAAAATGAAAGAGCAAAAGCATTTGAACGATTCAAAAGACAATTTATTAGCTGATGGGCCTGATACACTTGCGGGTCAAGTTTATTCTAAGAAAAGGTACAAAGGCCCATTTACTACTAGTGAAGCTGATAAGTCAATTAAAGAGGCTGAGCTGGCATTGAACAAGACTGCGAAGAGCATTTCTAGGGTTGTGTGCAGCTGAGACAAGAAAGGAAGACATTGTTTTGGGCAAGGAGAGGTCCTAATCTCTCAAAAGTCAGGAAGAATATTTCATTTCTGTTGCTACTTTCATCTCTAGTTTATTCACTATCTTAGACCTGGTTTTACCGTTCACTGGCGTAAGTCTTGCTTCATTTTGCTCATTTTATCACTGAGCAGTACACCAGCACCTATTCCTCATTAATCAAATATATTCCAGGTCCCACCGTTAGCTTATACATTTATATTGTAAAACTTTTAGCCACTAATAGCAGATAGATAAGAAGTAAAATACAATTCCATTTTTCATCCGATCAGGATGGCACATTTTGCATAATATATATTGTATCACAATTGATACACAAATAAATGAAAAATTACCTTCGTCAATCTGAAGACCCCAGACGAATTCTTCCATCTCAGTGAAGACCACCTTGTTTTCTATCTCGCCAGCAGTAGGATTTTGATCATCTACTGTCTCCTTACCAGGATTTGAGGAGGCAAGCAATGCAATAGCTTGGGGGCTAGATGCTGCTTCTTCCTCTTTCTTTTTAATAGCTAGTCTTCTAGCTCTTTCTAATGATTTATGAAGATCATCATCATCTGCAAAAACTGGAGTTTCGTCTTCCTCAGTTTTAACATTTAGTGTTTGTTCTAGACGCAACAGTTTGGAAGCTTCATCTGCTTTAGCATATGCAGACAGACAAGCATCGTTTCTCTTTTCAGCCTCCAGTCTCTCTTGCGCTTCCTTGATGGCCTGCCTCTTGGCATCATTCCGAGAACCAAGATCACCAACACCTAATCCCGCAGAGACAGCTTCAGCTTCAAGGGCCTTGAGGTCTAGCTTCTCTTTCTTCCGCAGGGATTTGTTCTTCTTGGGCTTCTTAAATTGAAGCGTTTCTTCATGAGTATGGTAATCCGATGATACCTTTCCAGATGAATTTAGATCTTCAAAGGAGTCTGTGGAGACGCCTGTTAACCTTCTTTGGAGCTGTCAATAGGATAAACAAACACAAGAATGAAGCGTTCATATCAAAGCTAAGTAACAAAGTTCCAAGGAAAATAATGGTAAGAAAAGAAGACAGAAGTCACAAAAACAAAGAGATGACGCGATTTGTGATCCAATAATAAAAGGCTTACCACCCTAAAACAATTGGAGCTTCATCTCGACTTTCTTACAAAATACTATAAAAAGAAATAGCGCTAACCTCTTCAAGCTTTTTCTCAGATTCCCTAGAAAATCCTCCCCTTTCATCCAATGTTAAACCCTAAAGAGAAGAATAGGATTAGTTATAAGTGTCATCTGCACATACACCTTCACTCAATCATCTATTGCTCATGAGTTTGAGAAATAAAAATGGCATCAAACCTCTTCAGCAGCTGGATCATCATATCGTGGAAGTATTTTCTTCTCTGCAGTGGGGACATCATTAAACCTGAAATTTAGCGAACAGGTTTAAACTTTATTCATGTTTTAGGTTGCTATTGTTCTGTCAACAAGGCAGGCAACAGAGATGATCATCTTACTTATTATCATAGATGCTAGTTTTCTTTTTCGCAGCCTTGTAAGCCTCATCCCGCCGTTTTTGTTCTCCAATATCCACATTCTCAAGTATATCAATATCTGCCATTTCAGAACAAAAAGCTCCGTTACACCGTGTCATTCAGGGATTGCAACCTTAAGTAACAAGAAAGCACAATGAAGTTGTACCTTGATTAATGTCACCATCAGCAAGTATGTGGTGATCTTTGATAGTTAGAACTACAGTACCACCCTGCATTACTTTGTCAAGAGCATGAAGAGCTTTAACCCCAGCTAAATTATCTGAAAAGAAGTTATTTAGTGTAAGTAATTTAACATACGAGATTATGATAAAGCACATGTAGATTCAAGTTTCTCAGATATGTAAGTTAAAGGCCAATGATGCTGGGTGACTTCTAGGACAGTGGCAAATGTCGTTTGTGCATGGCAATTATTATCATACAAGATTTTTTATCGCAATTAAACTGAAATTCGGGGTAATAGAGTGGAAACTTAGATTTTCATAGTTTGTATCATTTACTACTTTTACCTTCTATTAAAGACTTTGAGTTATAATGTATTTTAATACATATTTATTATTTTTCCTCTGCCCATACTTTTCTCATTGCTCCTACATATTTATTATTTTTCCTCTACCCATACTTTTCTCATTGCTCCAAACAGTGCAAAGATAATCTCTTCTTCTCTCCCTTCCTAAAACTTGAAAGTTCTTCAAGGGATAAATCTTTGTGACATCTCATATGCATTATCTTCTAGTAAGTAATCCCATTTCTTTTTTAATTTTGTAAACAAAACTTTTTCTCCTTGTATTGAAACAACACAAGCAAGAAATGTCGCAAAATTAGTTTTGAAACAACCAATTCATTAGACACCTTATACAGACCAAAGGTAAATTTATTGTTATAGCACATGCAATAAGGTTCACTAGATACTATTGAAGAGAGAGAAAGAAAATCTGCCTTCATAATGCTATGGGTCATATGCCAACTAACAAAAGTCAAGAAAATTTCAGGAAACTATTCTAACATATACGCATATAGTCATGCTTTGTCATGACAGTTCTCACTCCAGACAAAGATAGCTCATCACCTTTGCAGAGTAATGAACGACAGAGAAGTTGAGAGGAGTCTAGTCCATGTGGGATCCAACATTCCTACTTTAGCACTGGAATACATGACCTGGTTTTCATTCTAGACAAACTTGGTTCAAAAACATCTTCAGACGCCCTCCGAGCAGAGGCAAGACATACAAAACATACTAGAGGTGAACAAGCTGATCAATACAGCATACTTGCACAGTGGCACATATGAATATGATATACAGCTTGTAACGTGTAAGAGAACAAGAGATCATTTATGGTAATTAACTCCATATTCATATTGATTGCATGATCCCTGTCATAAAGATTCGACAAAGTTTTGTGTTGGCTGTCATAACACAACCCTCCTCTATCCAGGCTTGGGATTGGCAATAAAACATTGGCAGAATTTGTAAATGTGGGAAACAAATATTTACAAGATTGCAAAGAATATGGAAAAGAAAATCGAGAGCACTGCATCAAGTAAGATGTATAAATGATGAAGAAGGCCCAGTTTTACCAGTAGTGTGTTGGGTAGCACCCTCATCTTCACTTTCTTCTAGAGCAATGTTGTCCTGTGAAAAATAAATACCATGACTTCGATCAATCATGGAATCACAGTTACCTGTAGCACTATTTAAAGCTTTGGAATTAAAACAGGGGGGAAAAAAAACAATAACCTGTTCCTCAAAAATCTTTAAGAGCTGCAATGCTTTCTCCTTTTCAGCATTCTTTTTCTCTTCAAGCTTACGGCTTCCACTGACCCATGATAGGATCTCAGAAGCACCTTCAGATTGTTTGCTTAACCTTGCTTCTTTCATCCTGTCATCCAAAACGAAACAAAATCAAGCATTGTCAGAATAGAATGTTTTCCATACTTTCAGACACATGACTGTTTTTTTATGCAATCAGATAATATTACTTTTAAGTTCTAAAATAAAAAGACCAAGTACTATTACAAAAGAGAATGGATGCAGTAAATAATAAAATCCATCAAAAGTTGTGACAATAGAGCACATAGATTCTGTTTATTGTTAAGATGAGCCTTAAATCCGGTGACCCTAGTTGCAACATGTTGATAAAATTTGCAAGTCTGCAGACTGATGGAAAGACTGTTCCACAATAGTATTATTCAATTGTATCTTCTCCACAGAGTATAGTCTCATGGAGGAATTAAACTACTAAAACCGAACACTGTGCATTCCAGAGGCACACCACTCTCTTCACAATTCACTCACAATTTCCATACCCCTCTCACGCACTTGTTCCCTCTCAAATAGCCCTCCCTTTGTAACTATAACTTAGTAATTACCATAAATACCCATTGTCACAAGCCCCTCACACTTAGTAATTACAATTCACTCACAATTTCCATACCCTCTCACGCACTTGTTCCCTCTCAAATAGCCCTCCCTTTGTAACTATAACTTAGTAATTACCATAAATACCCATTGTCACAAGCCCAACAACACCCCCAAAAAAAAAAAAATTTGAGGGCCGCCTTGTTCTCAAGGTGGAAGGAAGGAAACTGTTTCTGAATCACCTTATAGTCTTCCCATGTATTGTCCAGATCAGACAAGTCAACCCACTTAATTAAGAGTTCAATGCCGCCATCAGTCATCTTATGGTGTTGCAAAACAGCTTGGGGGTAAACTTGAGAAACCACAGACACACGGAAAAATCCTGGTATTATAGCATATAATTTAAGATAAGGTACTAGCATCCAATTTGGGGGGGGAATCTCTAAATCACAGCCATCACTCCATATTTTCTCTGCAATACCTAAAAATGTTATTTAAGTTAACATTCATGTCTTCTTTTCATTTTAGTGTTGTTAATGTTATCATGAATATTTAAGGAGACGTCAATGAGCTAGTAACATTTGACTCAATCAGAAAAATAGCTTTCCAGTTTGGGTCATCGAGAATGACCTATTTATTCAGGATATGCCCAACATCTCTTTACCATATTCTCACCTAATCTGGTTTTCTTTTCTTTCCTTTCCTTTTTAAACTCTCTAGTGTCCAAAAACAGTGACAATCTCCTTTGTTTTACGGTATAATACAAGTAATAATTGATAGGCATTCAGCAGCCTCACAGATAAGAGTCATACTATAAACTATGGAGATAGTTTGCCAAAAGAAACACTGATAAAAATCAATTATGTTTCACATTTGTTTCAAACAGGCTTACTAATTTTCACATGGCCAAGGCTTTCTCTTTAATGACATAAATTAATTCCTTTTTAAGTTTAAAAACTTACCTTTTGCTCACTGATTTTACGTTCTCACTTTACAGCATAATTATTTGTTAATTAAAAAAAGAGTAAGAGAAGCATGGGGAAGAAATGTTCTTCACAATTAAAAAGAACAAAATTTTTTTGAAGGATTAAAATTTGAATAGGGATGTATTATGAAATAAGTTTAGATAACAGTAATTGGAATAGATTAATCATGGTACCGTAAAATCAATAGTATGAATTTATGTGTTTTGATATAATTTTTAAAGCTTCAGTTTACTTCCAAGGACATTTATTAACATTTTAATGCATCTTGCTACAATAATATTTTGAAAAAAAGTCACCCTCACTGTTGTCCCCCCCCCCCCCAAAAAAAAAAAGTTCTTTCCTTTACCTCTCTTCATTTTTCTATACCACTGCTATCAAATTCTTTGAAGCATTAACACCAAACATTTCCCCAAAAAAAAAAAAAAAAAAGCAAGAGGAAGAAGAGATGGGAGAAACATAAGACATGACCAAAGCAAGCATCACTGTATGGCTGCCTTCAGTCATTTCCCTATCTCTAAGGATATTTTTGGAGATTATTTTGGTTTACCAAGTGAGGTCAAGTAACTTATTAAGCGATCACTGAGCTTGGTCTCTAACTTCTATTATTACCCAGCATGTTCTGGAAGCATAAAAATAATCACCATATTTGTATTAAACATCTAGAGATAGGATCTCTTAATCAAGCCCTGCAAAGCCCCCCTCCTAACTCAAGATACGATCCCAATTTTCATAACCTTTCTCACAGGAAGAAGTAGCAAACTTCAACTTAATAATTATAGGATCTACCAGTTAAAATGGGCACAATGGTTTAAAAAGAAAAAAGAACAAAATGGAAAGGGAAAAAACAAGAAGAAGAAGAAGCAATGCAGGCATAAAAAGATAAACAAGATATTGAACTGACTTCAAAATGTGTTTTTCAAGTTCTGTTGCTGATGGATGTGCCGAGGCTTCACCATTGTGATCACCCTTGTCAAGATTTGATGCCTTCCCTTGCTTGCCAACCTCCTCATCTCTCTTGTCATGGATGACTACTTTGTAATCATCATCTTCAAGAGTCTTTCTGGTTCCCCTATCTCTTGACCTTTCTTTATCTTGATCTGCTTCCCCTTCCCTGTCTCTAATCTTACCCTTCCCCTTATCTTTGTCTCCATCTCTGTAACCTTCCCCATCCTTTTCTTGACCTCTATGCCTCTCTCGCTCCCTTTGCTTTGCCTTGTCCCTTTCCTTTTCCTTTTCTCTATCCCTATCCCTAGCTTTCTCTTTTCCCCTTTCCTTCTCCCGCCCTCTATCAGTTTCCTTCTCCATCTCCTTTTCCTTCTCAAGTTCCTTACCCTTACCCAATTCCTTCTTATCTTTACCACTCTCACGGTCTTTATCCCTATACTTCTCTCTATCATAGTCCTTTTCCTTCAATTTACCATCTTTACTCCTATCTTTTTCACGTTCATCCCTATCCTCTCTTTTCCTTTTCAGGCCGCCTATTCTATCATTTTCTGGATCTCTTGCATCGTTTTCTCTTTCTTTTGAAACATCCTTCAAAGTTCTCTTTTGCTTTCCCTGGTCTTTACTTCTGTGCTCCTTTTCTTCTTCTCGACTGCTATTCTTCCTATCCTTGCTTCTATGCCTGCTAGACTTGTCTGTCCCCACTTGTTCCAAATCATCATATTGCTCCCTGAATGGATCCTCCTGATCATTTCTACCATCCTGTGGTTCATATCTCGATTCAGACCATTCCATGTCCATTGAAACAACTGCAAATAATTCAGTTTAAACCAAAATGCCACAAATTTAATCACAACCCTCCAGATGAAATGACCATTCAAGAAAAATAGGAGAACCCCATTACTCATAATGAAATAATTATATAAAAACATATAAGAAGCACAGGTGGACCACACGGAAATCCTTGGAATATGCACAGTTGATATCATGCCCTTTTAGTTTTTGCTCCAGATAATTTAACTAAGATGACTTAGTAAGCCAATTGATTCAAGCAACTCCTCCAGGCCACTAAAGAATGACAATGAAAGCACACTTTCATTTATGATCTTCCAATTTCATCCAGCAATTTACGTTTATGATAAGTGATTCCTGCAGCAATTAGGTGCAAAATTGATTGTTTCTGACAAATGATTTAAACTCAAGCTTCTAAATGGCCAGACACAAATCGAGCCGAGTCATTTACCAGATCATGCATCCCAAATACCTTGCGAATTTTCTAAGTTGATGATAATATAAAGAGATTAATAAACAGAATTCCAATACACAACAAATCCAACATGGCACAACAACACAATCCCAAGCATACAAGTCGCTAGTAATCAAAATGAAGAAAGCAGAAGTGCATTAACCAATTACAGACTATTCACACAAAAATCAGCAACAAAAGGAAAAAAAATTAAACTCAATCTGTAAATATTCCCAGGTTCAAAAGAGTCGATATTCAAACGAATACAAGACCAGATTCAAAGCCAAATCAAAATGAAAAAATAAAAAATAAAACAGAGTAAGAAACCGTACGACGGCGTCTAACACTGTAGAAAAACACGCAGGGGACAGATTACGCATGGGGAACAAATTCAAATCAAGATTCAAAAGCCAGATTGAGCAAAGCAATCTCACCGAATTCTGGGAGAAGACAAGGCCCTAGGGTTCGAACCTTCTTCAATGCTTGAGAGAGGAACAGCCACGCAGGGCTGACAACAGTGGACGGCGTCCGACAGCGAGCTTGACCAAGTGCAGAATGCTTGTTCGTCAAGAAAGAAATTTTCTTTTTTGTGCCAACGAAGAAAAATTAAATTCCATAAGACAAAAAATAAACCTTAATTATTGAATAAGATCGTTCAATCTGCAGCAGTTATCATTGACGCGCACTTGGTCTGGCGTGGTGGAAGAGTTTTTCATAAAAACGAAAGTAGAAAAGGAATGCAAGTGAAGTGGGCATTTACGAAAGTGTAGTGGAAATTTTAATTGATAGATATAATTTCAATATGAAATTACTGGAATACACTTTTCAAGAGAAAAATGGCAAAAATATGTAGAAAACCATCCGCCATCCACAAATTCATGGAGGAAAAATAACACGCGAAGAAACTTCAAATATTAAATTTTAAATTAGATTTGATAACATTTTAATAAATTTTGATTTTTTCAGGCAAAAAAATAATAAACTTTGATTTTTAATAACATTAAATTTATAACTAACAACATATTTTTTTTATAAATTTTTTATTTTGGATTTAAGAATTTCAAACTTTTTTCATGGGATTCTCTCACTTATCAAAGCAATTATGAAATTAATAATCAGCAATGAAAAACACCAAAAAAAAAAACTAAGAACAATCAATGCAAGTAAACAACTAAGACATTAAATCATAATCAACAATAAAAAACAACCAAGAACAGCCCAAAACTCAACGATCAAAAAGCCAAGAATAATTAGCAGTCAATGATAATACAAAAACACAACCAACAAAAATTCAACCACTGAGCAAAGCCAAATGAAAGATTGACAAGGTTTAGTAAAAATGGAAAGTATGAAACCCTAAAATGTTGGGCGGTCAAATTTTTTCCTAAGAATGTAAATATGTCTAAGATAATGTTAGCATAAGAATTCTACGTGGCCTTGATCATGCATGGAACCATGTAAAATGAGCTGGAAAACAAAGCATTCCATTTTTTGGTACATTAACCATGCTTTCGCCCAATAGGAATTAATGAAGCAGGATATGGCTTTGGAATGACTTTACAAAGCCTAAAAGAAAAACTTTTGGCCTTAAGAGTTTACTTTCAAATATGTTTTAAAGAGAACTCACAAAAGGAGTTGACTTCTCTTTTTTTTAATTATTCCAATGAGGTTAAAATGAGATTTTTTTTTTTTTATGGGGGAAAAGCCTTTGTTTTAAGCATTGTCAAGAGAGAAAGTCAAAGTTTTAAGCTAAAATGCTGACCAAAATTCGGCGTTAACGGGGAACTCATAGGAGAACCTGGATTTTAATTAATCCAATGTTCTCATAGGGTTTAAAATGATGATTTTGTGTAAGGGATGGCCACATGTGGTACATAAACCTAATTAAACTATGAACCAAAGAAATTCAAGTAATTAAATGAAACAAAAAGACTTAATAAGAAATTTAAATAATGATTGATTGAGTTTGAGATTCATGAATGTTATATGCATGTTTGTTTGTGGTTGATCACTGCACAAGACCAAGATGATTCTAATTCAAGAAGGTTTAATTAGAGAAAATTATAGAGGTATCATCTTACCATTTTATTTTTTATTTTATTGCGTATAGGTATTTTTCTATTAGAGTTAATCCTGTTTGAAACACTGTCGAATACTAAATATTAGTACATCTCTCAATAGAAATTTAAATATTGATTCATTACGTTATGAGAAACTAACTCTTTTCGTTAAATCCAACTCCCACTTGTTCTTACTACTTCAATTAAGTTTATAAGTATTGCTTGATTACTCTTGTGCCATAAATGTCATATGAGATAGTATGTTTTATGTTATTGTTTGCTTTTGTGTGGATTGGATGAGATGACATATAAACTTCAAGCTTTATTAACAATTTAATGCGATGAAAATCTCAGTTTTAACTTGTAAATAAGTAATGTTGCGTGCTTGCTTTTATATATGCTATTGAGATTTTCTCCAAAATCACATGTACCCAGTAAAACTTAAATGATGTTTTGGAATGTTGATATTATATTTCCCCTAAAGCTAACTCACAGAGATTCAATTGGACCCTAAAACCAAGTCCAAATGATTTTCAAGAATTAAATTATGATTTTTGAAAATCTATGTTCAAAATCTAGAATTTTGAGACGGATTTTAGTGATTATAAATTGTATGAATTGGAATGTTGAATTGTGAGAAAGCATTTTTCTCATGAAGAGTAATGCTTAGAATAAATTTTATAAGTTGTAACCAGTGTCAAACAATTATCTTATGATTAGTTATGATTTTTTTGAGTTAGGATATCATCAATTATGAAATTTTTTTCGTGAATAGTGACATGAGGCCCTTTTGAAAGCTGAAGTTCTTTTTTTGGGCCAAGGAAAGCTGGAGTTTAACTCTTAGTAATAGTGAATAATAATGGGTTCAAATGAGCGAAAATGTATAGAATTATTTTTTGGTACAATGTAATTGAATTAGAAATTAAAAGGAAGATGGGACCGGTCCTGTAAAACGTCGGCAGATAGAAAAGGCTCCCATAAAACATTCCGTCCAAATTGCCACCCAGACATTTAGCTACTGCACACATATATATTTTATATACACACATATAGGAAAATACTTACATTAATTTTTTTATATCTATTATATCAAATTCTTCAATCATATATAATTATTATTCTATTTTTGAAATATTAATACTCCAGTCCTAAATATAAGACTCTTTTTCTAGTGTGTATAAAGGTTTTATATTTAGGACCGAAAGAGTATTTAATAGCATTTAATTATAAATACATATGAAATAGAAAACAACACATGGTTATGTATGATTGAAGAATTTGACATAATAAATATAAGCAATTTGGCCTAAGTTATATATATATATATATTAATTAGGTTATGAACAGTATTTTTTCAAAAGAAAAATACTTGATCATGGAAATTGCAAATCTAGTTTTGTGTGTTAAACACCACCAATTGGGTTTGGATTCTCCTATTTTTCTCATTTTTTTTCTCAGAATTTTATGTCCATCCTTAGATTAAAAAAAAAGGTTATTAAAATTTGACATGCACGTGCTACATAACAAATATAAAAATTTTAATTTCTAAAATTTTAAATCTAAACTACCCATATTTTGATCTAAGATAGATGTAAGGTTTTGAGGAGAAAAGAAAAATACTACAAAAAAAAAAGGTATTAGTAACAGAATTTTATTCTATCCCTAATTTGTCTCAAATCCGTGACAAATTCTGTTATTAAAATTAGCAATGAAATTTAGTGACAGAATTTTTTAACTGCGGGTTAGTAATAAAATTTTATTCTGTCACCAAATTAATAACAAATTAGTGACAAATTTATTCCGCACTAAATTCCATCACAGATTTTGTTGTAAAAAGGTTAGCGACAGAATTTTTTTATTACTAATTTTCGTTACTAATCCGTCCCTAACTCCCCTCACAAAACATTTTATGATGGAATTAATGATAAAAAATTCTGTCACTAATTTCTATTGTTATTCTGTCACTAATCCGTCACAAAAAATTACAATATAAATATATAATAATTATTTTTTAATATTTATTATTAAAATAAAAATATAATATATGATAATTTTCAATAATATATTATATAAATAAAAAAAATATGATATAATTATTTTGTTTAATATTTGAATAAAAATATTAATGATTAATTATTTTTAATAAAATAAAAAATTAAATTGAAATAAATTATAATATATTAAATTATATATAATATTTATTATATATTTGTATTTTTAATTATAACTACTATATATATTTATTTACTTTTGCATTAAAATTTTGTAAGTGTTTCTCAACTAAACTGAAAAAGACTTTAGCACGCGTGTAAGAGGTTCGGAGTTCAAACCACCACTTATTCGCAAAAATTGGCTCAATTTGTGACGTGGCGATGACATGGTGTCTCAAAACGATGTTATGCTTGGCAACGATGTAAAAACCTTAACCTTAAAAACATCATAACTCATCATAAAATCACTACTATGGTAGAAAAGGAAATCTGTTAAATGAACTACCATAGTAGGAAGAAATTTGCATAAATTTTGAATTCACATTTAAACCGTTGCATGCAACTGAAATCATTCATTTACATCTACTGGGCCTCCGAGCCTCCGGCCCGGGTAACAACAGACATCACATCAGCCCATCTAAATGATTCCCAACCAGATAATCCAGAGTTCATAAAACACTAGCAATGGCCTCCGGCCAACCAAAATAAGGAGATACATTCTCTCCAGTTTACAACAAGGCCGGGTAATCAAATATATCAAAAAGTAATCCTAACTGTGGCAATATATACTAGTCATACATATACAAATGCTAGAGGCCTAAAGCTAACCAAGCTCAAGCCTCTGCGTCTCTTCCCGATGGCCCACGCCCGGAACCTTCACCTGAAAACATTGTAAACCACGGGGTGAGACAAAGTCTCAGTAACCAACCTTTCCAATACTAGGTACTACTAAATAGGTGCTCGTGAGGTGTTAAGTGGGGCAGTTCACAAATAATATAAAACGATAGCCACAACAATTCATGTAAGTGCAATGATGCAATCCCATCAACCAAATCCCTCACTTTGGGGGATTTTCAGGAGCCGAAGCCGGCCTATCCCTCACTATAGGGGACGTAAAGAGCCATAAAAGGCCTATCCCTCACTCTGGGGGACGTAGGGAGCCAGAAGGCCTATCCCTCACTATGGGGGACGTACTAAGCCAACCATCATGCATTAATGGAGGCCTTATCACGTGGTAGTAACAGACAAAACTCTCACCAATTCCCAATTAATGCATCATGCTCAAATCATAATCAAAGAGTAATAATCATTTCACAATTAACCTCATTCAGTGGCATATCTTTCACAATTCCAAAATTCATTCATCATTAGTCGAAACCCCACAAGACGGTTTTCCTTTTTATACACAACATACAGTTTGAACATAATTACTACTTAGAGCACAAAAACATAAATCTACTCACAATACCACAGAAGCAAGTACTAAGGATTGAAAAGTGGTTACCTCTCGCCTGAGCAAGGAACAACAAACCAACGATGGGCCCCGTGCACCACCAAGACTCACAACCGGTCTACACAAGCACA